GGGTAAGTAGAGAGGGAGGGGAGCGGGCAGCGCGCGTGGGAAAGGGAAAGAAAGAAGCGGCAGGCCGAGGAAAAGGTCCCGGGTGGGTTCCGGGGCTTGGGGTGAACTTGGGGAGGGGGCAGCAGGGGAATTTGGGGGGGGGGGAGAGAGAGAGAGACTGAGAGGGGAAGGCAGGAAGGCAGTGAACGAGGAAAGCGAGAGGGAAGAGACGGCCCGACGAGGAACGCAGCGAGGAGGCAGGCAAAGAGGAGACCTGGGCCCGGTGGGGCAATCGTGGAAGGAGCGAGGGAGGCCCAGGCAAGGTCCTGGGGCAGCAGGGAAGCGAAGAAGGGCGCACCTCGGGCGGCGGAGGCTGGGCGAAGGCCGCGCCGTCGAAGGGCAGCGCCAAGAGCTGCGCGTCTCCAGCTGCCCTCTTGCTCCGCGAGGAGCCGCTCTCGGAGGAGCCCGCCTCGGCGCCGCCGCCTCCTTTCAGCTGCCCCGGCTCTCCTGGGCCTGGCGGCTCGGCTCCGGCGGCGTCCTGCTGCGTCACGTCCATGGCTCGAGGGCCCGAGGCGGCGGCGGAGACGGCGGCAGCAACAGGGCCTCGCCGGAGCCCCGGGCTGGAGGGGAAGGGCCCTCCCTGCTCCGCGCGTGGAATCTCCGCCGCCCTTTCGGAGCTCCGTTCTCCCAGAGGTTGTGGCGGCGCAGGGGACGGGAATCGGGGCGGCGGAGCTACTCTCGGGAACCCCGCGGAGCCCTTTTTTCCCCTTTGGGGCTGAGGATCGTGGAAAAGGGGTGGTGAAGACTGTCGGGGGGGAGGGGAGGGAAAGAAAAAGGGAGGCGACTGGCGCTTGGCTGGCCCGGACAAGCTGGGGCTCCCAGGCTCGGCCCAACCCGCTCAACTGGCTGGGCAACTCGCAGCCAGTGAATCCTGGGAGGTGACAGGCATGCTTCACTTTTCCTGCTGTTGTTGCCGACTTATCATAACAACAGGCGCTCTGCCGCCGACCGAGCATGTCCCTGCAAAACTCCCAGAGAGTGCACCTCGCCGAGTGGAGAAGGATAAGGGGGGGGGGCGGGGAGAGAAGCATGCACCTTCAGCTTGTGTAAGCCTGTTACCTCCCGACTTTCTATTTCCATATAGAGAAAAGCAGGAGAACTGTAGCTTCACCGCCGAAACACCCTCTCTTACGATTGCTTATGTCTCCAAATTGCTGCATGGGCGATTTGGGGCGCCATCCGAAGCCAAGCGCATTAAGCAAACGCCGAGAGTTCAGTCCAGCTCAAGAGCACTACCGCGTTCCAGAAGCTGCTGCCGCACACAGACAGACTTTAGAAATAAAACTGAAATCAAGCCCATCTCCTCCGAACTCTGGAGCACTCCGTACCTTATGTATGTTTACCTGAAGTGAATCCCACTAGGATCAATGAGATTTACTTCTGCGTAAGTGGGCGGGTGTCACTGCAGCCATAAGCTGCAATTCTGCACCGAGTGACCTGGGAGCAAACCCCATTTAACTCCCATGCACGTCTAGGATTGCGCGCACATCTAAGATTGCGTTGCTAGTCCATTTCAAGAGCTGCTAGTCAGCTTCAAGCGTGGTGCCACCGCCCTAACCGTAGCGATACCTTCTCTTAACAGAAGAAAATCGCGCCTAAGCACTCACAGCTCTCCAAACACACCACCCTCGCCTGCTCTGGAAGCCTCACCGCTGGATTGGTTTGTTTATCAGCTCCATGTGAAGCAACACAAGCCATTTCCAAGCAAATCCACAACCGCACGTGCACTTCGCTTCGACACTGAGAAGCGAACGGCTTTCGCCCCAAAACGGCTTTTTTTTCGGAGGGGTGGGTGAAAAAGAGGGAGAGAACCACACATCCTTTTCCATTCTGTAGAGAAAGTGAGAATGAGATCTGCATGCCGCCTACTCTCAGTTTCTGACATTTGTAGACAGGCTCGCCTCTCCAAAGGAGCCATAAATCTCAGCACCAACCCACATTTGTTTTCTTAATTAATCTTCCAGGCTGGCGCTTGTCAGATTCTATTCTGTGCACAGAATTAAGGAAGTGTGCGTGTATTTGTGTGTGTGTTTGTGTGTGCGCGCAGAGAGAAATACTGTGTTGCTCACCAAACCGTTGGGTTGAGATAGAAAAGAAAGACTTGCAAAACAGGAGTTTTGAAGCACCAAATCCCACCAGGGAAACAAATGTTTTAAAGTATTCAACAGTACAGCTCTTGTACACAGCCACTCGTTTATTTGAAAAGCATCCTTGAGGTCACCCTAGCGGTTCAACCTATCCATCTGTGCCTGTCTATGCTCCTATCTCTCTGGCTTTTAAAAAATAATAATCAACATCAGACATCACATATATGCATCTCTCCGTGTCCTTCATCAACCTCCAACATCATCTCTAGTTACATTTTATATACCTCTAATAAATATCAAGAGTCTTGTAAAGCGAAGGAACGAGTAAGCATCTTCTCCGCCACCGCGCGCAGAAGGCACCCCTGATCTGCTTCTGTCTCTCCTCCACACTACCTGTGCGAGGAGCATCTCCCAATAGCCTTCGAGGAGGCTTTTGGAGTTTGAAAGGCGTGCTCTTAAAAGCCCAGCAAGTCGTTAAAACCCTCACCAACTGGCTGAGGAGAGCGAGGAGAAGAGCAGCCAGCAAGATCTGACGCGGAAGTGACAACGGTCCAAACCAGAGGAAAAAGTCGCTCAGTGCGCCTCAGCAGAACTTGTGGCTCAAAAAGACCTCTGTCGGGGGCAGACCTCTTTAGGACATCTTGGGGCTCCTTCTGCTGACTCAGAAGGGTCGTCTCGCTCGTCCTCATTCATTCGTTTTACTCATCCATTCCATCTTCTCCCCCTCCTCTCCTCAATAACTGTTTCAGCACTGGTGCAGAAAGATCTGCCTGGGCTTCCTCCTCCCACTCCACCCGCTTCCTATCTCCTTCTGGACTCCTTGGGCCGAGGAGGTCGATCCCCACCCCCACCCCCATCCTTCCTCAACGCGTAGCCTCCTCCACCTGGCACCCAGGTATAAACCCACCACAGACGCCCTCTCTCCAGCTGCGAAGTCTGCTCGGTCGCCTAGTGCAGAAGTTGGTCTTCCAACGGCATCGCTAGCTTGTTGCAAGGTGCTTCCCCCAAACAGCTGGGTTTTCTGTTTGTTTGTTAGGTGGAGCGGGGGTGGGGAAGGCTGGACGGATTGGGGGACGGGGGACCGGGAGATCCTCTCTGATGTGTGCCCCAGCCGCGGGAAAGCGCTTACCTCACATTCCTCATATTTGATATTATCCGTCAGTTTCCAAAGCATTTTCATGGATTGGCGCGGCGAGAGAACGAGAGAGACAGACAGATACAGACAGAGTCAGAAAGAGAAAGAGGGAGGGAGAGAGAGAGGGAGAGAGAAGGAGAAAGAGAGAGAAGAGGCTCTTTTGCCCTGCCTGCCTGCCTTGCGCTCTCCTCTGGCATGCAGAGCGCGCCCGCTGGAGTGCTTGAGCAGGAGGAGGAGGAGGAGGAGGAGGAGGAGGAAGAGCAGCAGGAGGAGGAGATCTCCCGTGCCCGCTCGGAGATCTCCCTCTAATGGTCGAAACTTTTCCCTTTTTTCTTTCCAAGCGAGTCTTTTCACCAACAGCCTAATCGCCTCATTAGCATAGCAACAATAGGCCAATTGCTCCGCTGCGCAACAACCTGCGCGCGAATGGACTCAGGTAGCCAAGAAAACGCCCGCCACCGTCGCGTTTGGGGTGGGTTGGGCTAAGCTACTTTTAAACACAGCAGGACTCTTGGCAGGCGAGAGGGAGGGAGGTGAGACAGGAGGGGAGGGGTTTATTGTGATGGAGGGGCGTATGTGTGTTTTTAAAGTCACTATTCTTGCGATCTTCTACCTTGAGTCCATTTACTTTTTCGTTCTCACATCCTTCTGTTCTTACTTTTGCTATCTAATTGCTCTCTGCCTCTCCCTTTCTCCCTCCTCTTTAAATAACTTTTAAACTTGAAACTAGATGCAGTTTTACTTGCAAAGCTGTCAAAAGGAACATTCCCATGGGCGCGAACGGAACTCAACGTGCAACCCGATCCTATGCACGTTTGCAAGTGTGCGGGGAGTGGCGCTAGTTTACTCCCGATTGTGATAAGGTTTTACCCGCGCAGCCCTGTCCTGTTCGTGTTTACCCAGAAGTGAGTGCTATCCCACCGAGTTCGATAGGATTCCTTTCCATAGGGTTGCAGTTCTTTGACTTAAGAACGCTACGGCGTTTAGGAGTTCCCAGCAAAGCACTCCATCCTTCCTTTTCTGATTTGGGTTTTGTTTCGCGAAACTGAGGCCTATTCTCCCCCCTACATCGTAAGGACCAGATTTGAAGCAGCAGCTCCTTTTAGGGGACGAAAACAACAACGCCCACTTCCTGGGGGTTTTAACACCCCCCCCCCCGCCGTGGGGACAACCCAGAGTCTGTTATGTATTTGTGTGGTTTTCTTTGCTTCTAAGGACGAGCGACGCTTGGGCTGAAAGATACATTCGTGCAAATAATCCTAGACTGCGCCAGTATTGTCCAAGCGTGGGATCCTGAGCGCAATTATTTCGGAACAAGTTCGGCAGAAATCGAGGAGAGCTGTGGCCAAGAAAGGCGACGGTGCAGTTCGGGGAATTGTAGACTCCGGAGTTAATGGACTTAGTGGGTGGGTGGGATACCGTTACTTCAAGATGTGCCCTGACGCATTTGGGGGCCCTTCAACTCGTTCTGCTGAGTGGAGTCCTGAATTCTTCTGCCACCCCCCCCCCGCAATCCTGCCCTGTAAGGGCACCACTGAAGTACAGTATTAGGAACCGATCAGAGGGCAGAGACAGTGGACAGTGTAGGAAGTTGGGGGTGGGGTGGGGAGTGGTCTCCTACTCTACCTGTTTGAACCCCATGCAAACCCTTCTCTCAGCCACTTGAAGAAAGGCATAAACGCTTAGCCCGCAGGCTATTTTGCTCTGTGATCCTAAGCAGACCGCATTCAGACGAGTACAGGCAGGCAGTAAGATTTACTTCCGGAAGACTGCCGTGTTTGGGGTCGGATGGAGGATGTGAGGGAAACGCAGTAGTACCACCGGAGTCAATGCCACCTGAGCTTAAACTGGGAGCTGCGAGATCCAGCTTCAGTTCCCGTTACTCTCACCCTCTTTTATGCGAAGGCTTCTGCCTGCTCTCTCTTTTCGGAACCCGAGGGCGGATGCTGGAGCATGTGAAGTCATACTAGAAAGGAAAGTGCCTCATAAGCATGTGCAGAGTGCTTTTCTCTCAACATCACTCTGTCCCCGCAGCATTCAGGTTTAAACAGCAGGTTGCAGAGCATCCTGACTGGTTCGACCAGGGTCCCGGCATTGCTGTTTTGATCAGCACTGACACCAGGGACAGACAGGTAGGTGCATATGTGAACGTGCCCCTAAATATAGTGAGGACTGCAACCTTGAGCTCTAATGGGAACGGCTGCGCCCCCTTCCTCTTCAGCTCCCCGAGTGCACACCTGATTCCTTTCTTATATTTGCTTTGTATAGCTCAAACACAGTTTCGTAATAGATCCCTTCGGACTGGTGTTTTATTTATTTTTTGCCGTGGCTGACACTGTTTTTGATTTTTAATCCGGATTCATTTCGGATCGCTCAGGTTGGGGTCCTCCTCTGTCTTTTACTAGAAAACGTGCTTCCTGAGACAAAGAAGCAACATCTTCCCTACTCTCCCAGCTTTGCAGGTCAGGATCAAAAGACACCAGGTGTCAAGGCAGGTGTGCTGCCGGCCCTTTTACAAGCGAATCGTCGCATTTGGCGGATTCAGATACCGGCATGCATACATTCTCATTGGGGTCTGTACGTGTCTGGATAAAGAGGCCACCTAGAGCTGCAATTCGAGACCAGCCTCCTGAATAGAACCAACCTTCCGCGATGCGCTCCTATTGTTGAACCACAGCGAGATCTACAGGTCCAAGGAGGCAGAGGCATCCTTTGCACGGGAAACGCGCTGCTATTCGCCGGTCTGGGAGACTCTGAAGTTCCCCCAAAAGGAGAACCTAAACCAGTTAAACCGGATGAAATTGGATTAAGGTCCACTGGAGAATTTGGCATCGACTCAGGTTTGTTCCGGCTTAAGCAGCTTGTAGATCGGGATGGTAAGGGATTTCCTTTTCTTTTTTTTGAGAGAGGAAAAAAAAATCTACAAGTCAACGCCACGGCACCAGAGATTCTGGACGACCCAAGAAACGGCGAGTTTCCCCAGAGATTCTGGACGGCCACAAAACGGTGAGCCCCCTTTATCGGATTCTGCAGGACCACCGCGCCTGGCTGGCTCCCTCGCCACCTCTGGGCTCTTCCTAGGAATAAAAGAGTCGGTGCACTGTCCGTTGATGGTCCACTTCCAAGGGAGCTGTGGGGAGGTGGCGAGAGAGAGGCCACTCCGACTAAGGCGCGGTCTCCCTTCCTCTCACCCCTCTGATATACAGAGTCCAGGGTCCGTCTAAAACGCACATTGCCTTGACGCCAGGGCACTCGGTGGCAGATCAATGTGCACGCGCGCGCGGCCCTGCGCCTTCCAGCGGCGATTGCGCCACTGGGCTCCCAGGCTCTAACGGGAGTGGAAGATTCCCCCCAACACACACACCCACACCACACCACACCCACACACACACACACCTCAATACTACTGCCGGTTGCACGGACGCACGGGAAGGGGGTGGATCTCTCTCTCTCTTTCTCCGCTCCTCTCCTCTCTTCCGCTGCCGGAGAGAGAGGGAATCAGTCCAACCGGCCTCCTTGGCGGCACAGCCGTGTGGGAACTTCGCAAAGCTTTGGGTGCTCCCTCCCGCGGAAGACTTCGGCGGTTGCGAAACCCAACAGAGAGCTAAAGGCGTGCAGCTTTTGCAAGACTCGGGGAAATGCATTGCCGGACAGGGCTTCAAGCCCTCGCAGGAACCGAAGCTAGTGGTAGTAGTTCCCCAGGTGGCTGCAGAAAACCGACCTAAACACACACACTCGCGCGCGCACTCACACGCGCGTATCTATAAAGATTAGCGAGCGAAGGGCCTCAAGGCGCCGCGTCGCCTTCTCCTCCCTCTCCCTCGCAGCGCCTTCCTTCTGTTGCCCGCCTGATAGCGGCTGGATGAGTCCCAGTTGACTTCAGAGCCACAGGTCGAAAGCGAGGCGACTACTTGGGAGTAAGTGGAAAGAATGGCCGGCCCTGGGAATGTAAGGAAAGCGCGGGGTCCTAATCAATCGCTTAGGGTCTTCTGTCCCCTTGAGCTGAAATCAGTGGCGCTTCCTTCCTTAGAATTAGTGGGGGAGGGGGTGCTGCAAAGCCCACACCTTTTGTGACAATCCCCATACTGTTTGTACTGTTTGTACAGCGCTATGGGGAAAGCATGATTAAGATGAAACCGGGACTAGTCCGGAATAAGATCTACTTGGGTGGCTACCCGCCTCGCGGTGCGGGGGGGAGAAGATTCAGTCCGAGGGGGTTAGGCTCAGAATACTATAAATACAGTATTTGCGACCCGATCAATATCTGCATAGCTGTACTTAAGCCAATGCCATTCTGTTAAATAGGGACAAAATAGGAAGACAAAACAAAAAACCTTAACTTTTATCCAGCCTCATTTGAACACATTTTCCACGGAAGTGTGCTTAGGATCAGGTTTCTTATAGGTAAGTTATGATCCATTCAAACAAATGTCAGGTGTGCGGCCCCCCCCCCCAGCAAATGCCTTAAAGATTTAGGATTGCTCTCCATGACTCAGCCAAAGTTAAGCACTCTTAAGTCCCTGGAGATGTTCAGTTGGAGAGAGTTTAGCTTCTGGTAAACCTTTCCAGTGAAGTCAATGGGGTTCCCTGTTTACGGTCGTTCCCAAGGGATAATTGGGGTACTGAAAAACCATTCGGAATAAAAGAAACTGAAGGCAAGAGCTGAATTTTAACTTCCTCGGATCGTTTACTCGACGAGGAAAAGCCACCGGTTTCAATAGCGCACCGAGTTCACTTTTCCCTGATTGCGGGGCCTGAAATCGGGGGAAAAGGCGCGAGCCACAAGGAAGCGGCGCAAGTTCGGCCACAGGTTGAGCATGGAAGTTCGACGCGGAGAGGGAGAGTTTCCCAACCCTGCTTCCCTTTGGAAAAGAAGGCCCCTACCTTTCACCCAGTAAAAGCCTGCGAGGCCTAGTCTAGCGCGGAGCAGCGTTCGCCTTTGAAAGTGCTCAGAACTGGAGTACTTTAAAGAGTTAGAACTCCTGCAAAACTTAGGCTGGGTCTATTAAAACCTTTTCAAAAACCTTTCACACAAACCAGTTTTCGGCGCCCAACATAAAGAGAACCAGTTTACAGGAGAACTCCGCCACCGGTTTGCCAGATCAGTGGTGGTTTAACATCAACAGCGATCACGCGGCAAGTTTCTTTCGAAATGTTGGTGGGGGCGATTGTCGTGGACGAGGAAGCCCGTGGCGCCGTTTGCTGCTCCGTGGGCTCTCTTCCCCCACCTGTTGAGCAGCCATCAAAGGTCTCCTTTACGCAAACAATTTTACGCGCTGTGAATTGTCCTTATTAGGTGGCTTGTCCTCCCAAAAATGCCCGGAGAGAGGAACCCCAAGTCGCTCTTCGTCTGTTGGGTCTGGATCCGAGCCTCCTAGTTTTTCCTATCCTTAATCCCCAAACAAAACGAGGAAGAAAAGCAAAGGCGGGCGGGAGTGGAGAGGAGAGAAGAGAAATCGCGTTACCTGCCAGTCTCCCATTTTCGCAAGGAGTGACATTCTGGCTCCGGGCTGCCTATCACAAGGTCCCTGCCGGTCATGGAAGGAGTGATCTGCCCGCCTGCCTCTCCTGCGATCTCTTTAGGCAAAGCCTTCTTTTACCTGCCTGAGGAGCTCACCTGGTCAAAAAAAAAAAAAAAAAAAAAAAAGGCAGGGTGCTGCCTGCCCGCGCCTGCGCACTGGCGCAGGAATGCATTTCGACCAGCTCCCTTCCAGAGCTCGCAACCTGTCTCCGCGGATGATGGATTTATAGCAAACAGCAGCTCTCTCTCTGGAGCGGAGTTTCTTGACTTCCCACCTCCGGGGAGCGGTCCTGATCTCCTCCTGGAGGGGATCAAAACAGCAGGGAGTCAGAGGAGCTGCTGGGATTCCTCTTTCCCCTCTCGTCGCCTTTCTCCCCTCACCCCCACTCTCTTTCTATTGTTTGGCTTTGCTGCAGTGTGGAGAAAAGCCAGGGGAGTGAAATTGGGTGTATATTGGTAGGTGGGCGAAGAAAAAGGAGAGCGAGAGAGATGGAGACCGGCAACTAACTCCCGCGGGCCACAGAGATCCGGAGCGCGGAGCCGGCGCTGCTGGGCAACCTGATTTTGAGCTGGGGGAAGGGGGGGGAGGGAGGGGGCAACTACAGAAATAAGGAGAGACGAGGAGTTGTGTGCCGAAAAAGCAACTGCCACAGGGGTTCAGTTGCAGATTTGGGTGCTTTAGGTCTCCTGTTGCTCGGGGAAAATAAAGACTTCGCTAGAGAGAGGCTGTCTGCTGGGACAAGCAACCCCCCCCCTCCGCGCGCGCTTCCAACGGAGGGCAATTGCTCTCCAGACCCCCCCCCCCTTCTTTCCCCCGGCTTTGAGACATGACTGGCGAGGATTCCCCTTCCCCTGGTTCTGATAGCGGGCCGCGCGGCTCTGTCTGCGCGGCATCCTTTCAACGGCTCTTTGCCAAGACGACCCACTTGCGCAGAAGCGCCCGTCGAGTCCGGATTGGAACTCGATCGGCTTCGGCGCAAAATAGCCGGGGATGTAGGACGAGTTGAGGGCCAGAGCAGCAGCAGAGATGATATGCACCGGATCTCTCACGTTCAGTAAAGCGGGGATTGTTTTAAAATGTGTTCGGTATCCGTTAGCAAGACAGTTAAGACTTTTTGGAAAACTAAGCCTGGGGCGCGGGAGGCAGTAAAAACAGTGCTGCGTACGCGGAAGAATTGCGGGTTCCAGTTGCTACAGCGAGAGGCACGATTCTGTTAAATCGTCGCCGTTCATGGGTTTAATTCAAATTGTGGATCGGGTTGTTAAATTCTGCACGGACTCTGTTTACTGAAACAATGCAGCTGCTGGAGTGATAATAGAATGGAGGAATGGGGTATAAGACAACTAAAAGCAGCATCTTTTATGGGTTTAATATTTTAAGTGTTCGGGGTCTTTTCAAACGCGTCTGGCTTCACTTTTCCATAGTGAACAAGGGGCTTCCACTGTTGTTCCAGAAGAAGCTGGGTCTGCTTAAATGTATGAAAGGATATTTTTCACCTAATTACGGCGAGCGAGCAGCAGAGCCAGAGCAGATCACCGCAAACTGTAGTTTTCGTTTTACCAACTTTCAGAGACTTTCCACAAAATGTTAAACTTCCTCCCACAAAATAAATAAATAACAAATCTTAAGACAAGGTTTAGGAGTTTTCAAAGCCTTCTTTTCCCGAGAGGGGGGGAGCCGCACTTCCTGTGACGCCATTGTGTGCAAGTATCGGACGAGAGATCTGCGCGGAACTGTGCTTGTATCAAGATGAAACTTTGTAGGTGGAAAGGGAAATGCGGTAATAAAAAGAGAGTCACGCTCCTTTCTCCTTTTCAGCTCTGGTCTGGATGCGCTGAGCCGGATCTCGGCTAGGAAACAAGTTTTGGCTAGGAAATAAGTTTTACTCTAGAGTAGCTCCGTAAAAAGTTTAGAGTCAGTGGCGTCTGTAGAATCTGCCCTCTCCCTAAATACCTGGAAAAAAGGACGGGAAAGAACCTGCATAGCCGCGAGGTGATTCTCTCTGGGTAGACAGAGAGACTTTGGTCAATTTCAGAATTAGGGGGAACAGTTGCATGGTCCCGTTTTCTGAGTTTCAGCAAGAGTGGGACATCAGAGAGGGAGGGAGGGAGGGAGGGAGGAAGAAAGAAAGAAAGAAAGAAAGAAAGAAAGAAAGAAAGAAAGAAAGAAAGAAAGAAAGAAAGAAAGAGGAAGGAAGGAATGCATTAGAGAGAGAGCTAGCCATGTATGTAGGATTTGACTGAAGGCGCGCTTTGGATCCTGTTCACCAGTGATGCCTTCAGGGCGCAGGACCTTGGGACGGAAATCCAGGCCCCACCAAAACCAGCAGAAGGAGCAGGAGAGCTTCCCAAAGGCAACAGGTCCGGCTTCTCAAATTTTGAAGCAAAACACCTCACCTGTCTAAAAAGGGAACTCGCGCCCTCCCCTCCTCACCGGACCACGAATCAGAGTCCACAGCGCCCTAACCGTGCCACTGCTGCTCAAAACAACCCCGATTTAAGCAGGGAATGAGAGACCCTTTAAGTCACCAGACCTACATCAGCTGCGTTGGGTTGCGGATCGGGGCCCTAGTTTTTACACAAGTTTTTCGCAAGGGGCTCCTTGGAAACGATCCCTTTCCCCAAAGGAGGGAGGTTTTGCACGCGCCCTAAAGTGGGGTTCAGGTAGCTAAGCGATTTTTAAATTTTATTTTAAGGGAGCGTCCTTTATTTTTCCGAAGGGCAAAGAGTTCTTCCGACTAGCAATTACGAGATTTCTATCCATGCGGAGGGGGCAGGGCGGGCTGGGAAGCAGAAATCAGATATTTGCAACGAAACAGCCACCTATGACCACCAAACACTAGCAACATCTTCACCACGGTGCTTTGAGCGCCAGGAGGGCTCAGAACCAAGCTGTGCTCTGAATGAATCCAGCTCACGGATTTCCCCCCTGGTCAATTCTCCATTGGGATTGCTGATTTCAAAGGTCTCCGGCCGAAATCCCTTGTGAGTCTCAGTCCCACCAACGCCCACTGGCAAGCCTTTAAAATCAACGCGATTAGATCCAGTCCCATGTGCGAATCTCTGTGGCATCAAATTTTCCCTCTGCACCTGGTCCGTCCTATAAAAAAAGTTATATTAAGTGGCTCTAAACCCTTGGAGAAGGGCGAGAGGACGCGGTTTAATCGGAAAAGAAGCGTCCGGGTCTGCCCGATTTCTCCCCATGGACAGCAATAGCGCGAACAGGTTTACCCCGCTGCAGGGTAGGCTGTTCAGAGGGCGCAGCAACATGTGAGAGTCGTTAGGAACTTCAACGGGGGAAGGCTGACAGATGGGCGAGGAATAACAACAACAACAACAACAACAACAACAACAACAACAACAACAACAACAACAACAACAACAACAACAACAACAACAACAACAAACAATGGTTGTGGGTGCAAGTCGGCTCGGACCCCTGTAGTGTTCTATTTTGGGTATCTGCAAAAAAATAGCGGAGACTTCAAACCCTTTACTGGGATGCAGTGGTATGTACCTCGTGAACCACCAACCAATTGCTTGGATTATAAATTCCTATTGCAAGCAATGGAAACTTGATTCAAGAATGTATGAAACTCACCCGATATTCCACTTTTCGAGTTTCTGCCTGTTGCAGCATGAAACTGGCAACCTTTCCTTGCTGATTTCCAGTAATATATACTTCTACTGTTAGTGGAGGTTCCACTGAGTTATCATTCCGTTTGGAAAACCTCGCGATAGACACTCCCACCCCCCCCCCATACATCTCTCTTTTTAGCCGTCTAAACCAGCGGATATCGCCACATCTAGCGACCCTTGGAGCTCAGTGAGGCTTACTGCCAAATCAGTGGGCATAGGATTGCAGCCTACATACGGACAAGTTTCTGGTGTGCTGCAATCTTATTAGTCTGCAACTGACGGCCAATCAGTTGCATTGGAGTATATGGGACAAGTAGAAAAAAGTTTTCTCTGCATTCTTAGAACGTTATGACCCCCTTATCTTGCTTCTCGTCAGGATGAGCAAAAGGTAGTTTGGGATCTACTGGTAGATCTCTGGATGATTTAGATCAGCAAGGGTTTCCAAATCCCAAGAGCTGCAAAATTAGTTTGCTAGGGGAAGGGCGTTTATGGGGTGGACTGACTGACTTATCTAGTGTCAAATGACTTAGGAGCTTGATTCTGGTACTGATCACACATTCTTTAGCTCCTCCTGTTCTTAGAGGCACACCTTTACTTACTTGTTAACAGAGTCACTATTTTGCACCCTGTTCCGATTGGTAGACCTCACGGTTGCATTTACAAAAATACAACAAAACCCCACAGCCCTGAAGTATGTGGACTAAGCTAAGCGCAAATCTGCCCCAAGCAAATAAATGTGACTGAGGCGCTAGTCCGTGTGAATCGCGCAGCTATTGTTTAACATAGATTTAGAGCCAATAATAGTGCTAGGTAACGGGACGCGGGTGGCGCTGTGGGTAAAAGCCTCAGCGCCTAGGGCTTGCCGATCGAAAGGTCGGCGGTTCGAATCCCCGCGGCGGGGTGCGCTCCCGTCGTTCGGTCCCAGCGCCTGCCAACCTAGCAGTTCGAAAGCACCCCCGGGTGCAAGTAGATAAATAGGGACCGCTTACAAGCGGGAAGGTAAACGGCGTTTCCGTGTGCGGCTCTGGCTCGCCAGAGCAGCGATGTCACGCTGGCCACGTGACCCGGAAGTGTCTCCGGACAGCGCTGGCCCACGGCCTATAGAGTGAGATGGGCGCACAACCCTAGAGTCTGGCAAGACTAGCCCGTACGGGCAGGGGTACCTTTACCTTAATAGTGCTAGGCGCTGCGGCTTCCCCCAATTACGCGGGGGACCACGAATCTGGGCTAATGTTGGACTTTGGGTGATCGTCATCGTCATCAGAACAACATACTGGTCCTAGTCTTGCTCCCTATTCCATCTGAAGCCAGATTCAATCCTATGCCTATGTATCCCGAAGGAAGTCCCACTGAATCCAAGGGGATTTACTCGGAGGTAAATGCGTATTGCAGCCTTGGATGCAGTGTGCTCCATGGAAACCGAGCCGTCAATAACTTCACCTGGATCGGCGCCAAAATCAATTCAACAGGACATCATTTCCAAGCTAGTCTTAGGATGGGGGTCCGAGGCAGAAAATACCCTTGAACTGTGTGGATTGAATCCCCAATCTCCCGGGGAATCGCGCGGACCATCGTAGATGGAGGGTCCCGGGAATTTCTCAGCCTAGCCGCGCCCATGCAGAAACTATTCGACTTCATCCCAGTCCCAGCGCCTCGGGGCGACCTGCTGCAGTTAGAGTGAACCGGGAAACACGCGATCCGCATTATGCGAGGTTAGATACGTTTAGATCGTCGGACTGTAACAGCCGGCAAGGTAGAGACGTTGCATTAATTTCTCTCCCGCTCTCAAAGGTGGGATTCTACCCTGGGCAAAAAAAAAAAAAAAAGGGCGGGGAAAAGCTAGCAAGGATCTGGGAAAGAACCATAAACGCGCCTCTTTGGCAGTGGAAAGGAGGTTGAAGGTGACACCTCAAAGGAACCTACACTTTTGCACCTTGAAGATTGTAAGCCTTGAGGGGAGGGCTTGCCTCGTAGCAAAATTAATTGAGCAAAATTAAAGTGCTGCGTTCAGTAGGTTTCTTCCACAGTACTCAGTGCAGACTAGTCAAAATCTAATCTTGATACTTCTACAGATATAACTGAAAGGAGAAAGGACACGATCCAGCCAACACTGAACTGTTTTAGATCTCTTTGGCTTCAGCTGGGGGATTCACTGACTCTCTTCGAAATCAAGAAGACATAAAAATAGTTGGCTGGCTGGGTCGTCGTGCCTGCCTAAATCTCCTCGGATTTCATTGATGTTTTCCCAGGTTGCAGCTCTGAAACCGCTGGTTCCCACTCATGTAACCTACACGTGAACACAAGGGTGTCAGGGGGTTTTCTGGCCCCAGTACACCGTATGAAGTCTGAGTCCTCCACTTCATCCGCAATATATTGGCAAAAACTATTATATCGCCTACCATACCCTCACTAGCTCCTCCTTTGGTTTATGGTTCTGTTGTTGTTGTTGTTTAGGCTGCTAGTTGGGAGTAAGTACCTTTGACTCTACTGGGACTTATTCCAGAGGAAACCTGCATAACAGGATCGTAAAAGGCCACAACCTTTTCGGAAAAGTGGTCCAAGCGGCGGCCTATGATGGCCCCATAGCCTTGACCCGTGAATTGTGCATTTAATCCAAAAACCCGGTGAGATTATAACGTAGAATTTTATTTCTCTCGCACCCTCCCATTTGCTACCTAGAAGCTGGCTAAGAACTGCCATCCCCGCAGAAGAGAACGTTGCGCCCGATCCTAAACAGATAACCAGTTGTCCGGAAGTGGAGTCGCTGCAGCCGACAGGAGTGGACTTCGACCTTCCAGGCAGCCTGATCTAACTCCGTTAAACTAAAGCCCAGTGGGGGCAAGGGATTAAAACTGGTTTAATCCCCAGTATTTTGGTTTACATCCGCCAACAAATACAACTAACCCAGCACTGGGTCCTCACCCCCTGTCCAGAGATTATTTCTTCCGTGGATCCTTTCAAAGTGCGCGCGCGGAGAGGGGGGGCGTTTCTTCCCCCTCCCCTGCGGCGCAATTGGAGCGGGAGGATTGTTCTGTAAGCTTTCGCAAGTTGCTGCGGAGGCATGGCCATTATCAGCCTGAGATTTTCCTTCTGTTTACACAGCAATCCCGGCATCAAAGGAGGCGAAATCACCACTTATCCGTCCTGTCAAAAGTTTAATCCGCCCTGGAGGAAAAACCGTATAAATACTTGTGCGGGGAGAGGGACAGAGGCGAGGAAACCAGAGGACACACTTCAAAACGCAGCTTCTTCTGTGACTTAAAACGCATTTGAATATTGGCCAAGGCTGCCCGTGGAGCAAGACGCCCTCCCTCAATAAATCCATTGTCTGCTGCGTAATTTTCTTCTCGCCCCACAAAATAAGAAAAGACATTAGAAGGACATCATATACAATCCTATATCCATTTATCTGGAAGCCCCTTGAACTCACATTGAGTTTCTTCGGGGTAGAGTTGTATAAGATTGCGCAGATAGAGAAGTGTTTGAGGCAGTTTATAGAAGCGTCCACTCCTTAGTCTTTTGTTGCGGAATGATCACCCTCAAAAATCAGAAGGAAGGCAATAATACTTTCCATAAAGAACTTCCCTGTTCAACAAGGATCCTTATAAATGGACTAGGAGTTCAGCTGGGAATTCCCACTGTTTTCCATCGTGAAACGTCCACGGGTTGCAGCGGGGGAGGCTCAAATACGCCTCGGTAGAAAGCGAAGGGGATTGAGGTTCTAGGCGCACGCGCTTGTGAACCCCATTGGACTCATTCAGTGCGGCTTCTGCGCAAAGATTCTCAGCACAGGGTTTACCTCCGGAGTTGCCTTTTAGCTAGAGATCGTGGCCCTGTCCGTTCACTTCACGTGATGAATTTGGGGGTGGAGGAAAGGGGTTGTTAAGAAAAAAAGTTCTGGGTCACGAGCAATCCAGACAAGCAACCGGATCTGGATCCCGGAACATGTTAAGGTCTGAACTGAATGAGGTTTGATGTGTAATTTGAGCGATAGATAGAGAGGGCGGGTTGTTGCTCACATTACTGCCCTCGTTATAGTGACAAACCCACTTACCTGGAGGCAATGCGGAGCTGAAGACCAGTGGGTGACGGCTCGATCCTAAATATATTTACTCGGAAGTAAACAAGCCTCGGTTTTTTGCTTATAAGGGAGACTGATACGCCTTCAGGCAGGGCTAATTGTCCCTACATATACGTACGTGTGTACGTGTGTGTGTGTGCATTTATATATGTGTGTATACACGCCCCGCCCCGCCCCGCCCCTCCGGGTTTTCACATTACAGTGGGAAAGAGGCTTCTACGTATTGTATATGAACCCTCTCTTATCCAGTTTTGTGTTTACTTATCTTTAATATATAATCTGAGCATTAGTTATAAATAATATGTACATTTAGAGTAACCCTCGTGAATTATGCTGTCACCCTCAGGAAAACCCTGAGAGGTAGGTCAGTGTTAGTAAACAGAGCAAGATTATATACCATGTTAAAATGCAATCCATGTTATACTTGGGTCTTCCTCTCTTTAACACACTTTCCCAAGTGTTTTGTATGAGTGTTGCTTTTCCCCCCTAAAGAAAATATTAAAAAAAACGTTTTAAATACACAATCATAAAAAAACAAATCCGAAAAGACTCAAGCTATGCAATCAAAGCAAACCACCTTGAAGTCCCTTTGATTTTAACTGGAATGTGAAGCGTCCATTGAAGTCAATGGGATTCAACGAGCGCTTCGCTTTGCGTCCTGCGCAACCTTCCAGCCCGTGCCGTTTATCGGGCACGAATGTTGCTCTGCAAGCCTTTTACTCTGGTGAGATCTCCCTGAAACCCGGCTGTGTTCTAGTGTTCTACTAGAGTTACTCCAAAATCATGCTTTGGGGTGGATTACAACCCTAGAAAAGGGCAAACGCTGCACCCACTGACGTGGGTGTCAGGCTCTACTTGTTTGAGGTGCTAACATAAATTATGCAATCTAGGATTCCGATATTTACGCAGGTTTTCTTAGACGTAACTGCCATTGGAAATAACGCAATTCCTCCTGGGTAAATAAGAGGGGAGGGACCCTAGAACACGTTCAGTCCTCGGCACCTCCAGTTGCAGTGAATAGTAGTTATTCTTAGTCTGTGTACTATACACATTTAAAGCACATTCTCTCCCCCACCCACCCCCCCAGAGATTTCTGGGCTCCGCAGTCTGCTCCTCACAGAGTTACAAATCCTAGCAACCCTTAACGAACTGCAGAGCCCAGAATTCTTGGAGGGAAAGAAAGTGCTTAGAACATGCTTTAAATGTACCGTGTGAACACAGGCTTCGTAAATGTGAAGTGGGTTTGCAACGTTTGCATGTTCCAGGGCGGGACCTTTATGCAGGCCAGAGTTTCGGGGGTCGGATTAAGCCTTAGTGCTGACTAATCGGTAGGGTAAGGCACTCACAGGAGAACGAGCCTGCTGCCCCCCCCCCACCTGCTATGGGAGTGTCACTGCTTGGTTGGAGCAGGAGAAGTTGACCGACGTTCACCGTATCCACCAGGGGTCGCCAAAGCGGAGCGATTTCCTGACAAGTTAGCGCGCCATCCTATAAAGGTAAAGGAACCCCTGACCATTAGGTCCAGTCGTGGCCGACTCTGGGGTTGCGGCGCTCATCTCGCTTTTTTGGCAGAGGTATCTATACGTCTCCCCCAAAGTAAGTCTCACTGAGTTCGGTAGGAGGACTCGCTTCAAGTCAATGGATAGGATTGCAAATTTAGTCACCCCCTTGGATAATCAGAGGCTCGCAGTCTTATGGACTCTTACCAGGCGGAGGAAACCTCTTAGGACTTACTATTTGTGAGTAAACATGCATAGGGTTGAGGGGGGGGAGTCAGCCTCAAATAAGACGTTGGCATTTATATGTGAATACACATGCAACTCCCATTCTTCTCAACGGGACTTAAGGATGACTCCCTTCTCTAGGTCGGGCCCAAGGGTGTGTTAAAAAAACAACTCAGTGGGGATTTTGTTTTTGTCTTAGGAAGTGGGGTGACGCCGCTTCTCCTGCACAGCCCTTAAAGGTGCAAGGAACCCTCTTTTCTTGTTCGCCTGGACTCTTTAGTCTGGTTGTAGGAAGAGCTTTGCATCCACTCCACAGAAGAACATCCCACTCGGATTTCACCTGCAGACCAAAAGAGCAGAGAGTTTTGAAAGTTTCGCTTTCTGACAACTTCGAAAAACAGCTATTCCTCATGACTGGGAAAGTAAAGTTTGGGGAAACGTGGATCTTTTTTCTATCGCGTTCAAGCTGATCATCTGCAACCACGAATGAAAAACTTAAAGCCCGTCCCTCTTGTGTGTAGGAGTGGCATTGTAGTTCCAGATGAATTACAAACTCGATCTTCAACTCAGTGGCTCTAGAACTGGATGTAGAAGAAATCCCCATTAGGGTGAATGGAACTGGTATTGTAACCAGCTGCGGATTTCGAGCAATTTATCTTGAGAAAAGCGATTGTTTAAATCTGATTGCAACAGACTGAGCATTTTCAAGGACTGCAGTGTAACTTTATTCAGCTCTTCAGGCCGGATGCGCATGCTAAACGCACCTATTGGCCGAAGTAGATTCAACTGATTTGAAATCGGAACTGTTTCCAAGCTTCTACGCATGTTTATTCGCCACTGTTTGATAGGGTTACCCAGGGAAGTTTGCAGGTGCTTGCAGCCATGCTTCCCAATCCTATACAACGGTAAGGCAAAAAAGGCAAAGGATCCATGGACGGTGAAGTCCACTCAAAGGCTACTATGGGGTGCAGCGCTCATCTCGCTTTTCAGGCCGAGGGAACCGGCGTTTGTCCACAGACAGCTTTCCGGGCCATGTGGCCATCATGGCTAAACCGCTACTGGTGCACAGAGGACTGTGACAGAAGCCGGAGAGCGGGGAAACGCCGTTTACCTTCCCACAGCAGCGATACCTATTTATCTCCTTGCACTGGTGTGCTTTTGAACTGCTAGAAGCTGGATAGAGCAACGGGAGCTCACCCTGTCGAGGGGATTCGGACCTCCGACGTTCCGATCAGCAAGCCCACGAGGCTCAGTGGTTTAGACCACAGCACCACCCACTCCCTTTTTCCTATACAAAGATCAACACCTGGCAGCCCGATCCTTATTTAGGTTTACTCGGAAGTAATTCCCACTGTGTTCAATGGGATTCACTCCCTTGAAAGAGCTGCAGTTTACCTCTGTGTAAGCTCCGGCTGTGCACTTGCAGTCGTCGGCGCGTTTACCTGAGAGTGCACCTCTGGACAGTGTGACTTACTTCAAGTAAGGGTATATTATTGGGGTGCTCTTATCTTACTTTCAAAGATCAGCAAAGATATTGAAATGAGTATTTGGCAGCACAGGCGGCATTCGGCAAGTAGGTTATCAGGAGATCAATTTCTCTCGAGTGAAACGCAACCCTCCCCCTCCCCCGCATCATTTAGAAAGCTACCTCCAACGTTTTTTGGATGTGGAAATATACTCTTGGCAAAAAGACTATCAGCACATAACGTGCTTTCAGTCAGCAGAAGCCTCAATTAAAACCAGTCACAAAATTAATCTACATTTGAATTTCTAAAAAGTAAGACTTCCTCGATGAAGCACGACCAGTGCACCAAGTCTTACTTAAGGCACGCCAGGTGTGTTCAAAGTCAGGTTTCCCCAACCTGGTGCTCTACAGATTTTGGATCCCAGTTCGTATTTGCCCCAGCCAGCGGGATCCAAGTATGATGGTGAGCGGAGTCCAAACTCCCTGGAGGGCACCAGATGGGGAAGCGTGGTCGAGACAAAGAGCGCATCGCCCAGTAAAAAGTGTTATTGGAGCATAGACCATTTCAGACTGCAGGTGAAAGACTGGCGAATGATATTCTCAGAACACGCAATGCAGGAATATGCAGTTGCAAATCTCCTTGTGCACAGA